AGTAATACAATGAACTAGGATCACACTAATCCAGCGCATTATTATTCTGAGTTGTCCCACTTAAGCGGCGGCCATATTGAGTGGGGCACGTGAGATTAATAACGTGCTGGATTAGTGTGATCCTAGTTCATTTTATTACTTAATTGCTGTGCTGTATGTGTATAGGCCAATGTAGTTGGATCTGTATGTGCGTTATAATTAATCAAAATTAATCGATTAATCGATTTTTAAAAATTTCGATTAATCGAACACGAAAATTTTAATCATTACCAGCCCTAGTAAATTACATTTATTATTTCAACTTGCATGGAAAATTATTGTTTATGACTCTGAGAAGAAAATCTAGTGGATAGACTTTAACCTTTTGGGGCCATAGGTCATGGATACAAAGATGTCTGGGCTAATTTTAGCAGCATCAGCATGTGTTGTTATGTAACAATAACTCTATAGGATCAATTCACAAAGGGAAATGTTATTTGCTCTCTAGTTGTTATTTTACTTCTCTTTATTTTTCTTTTTTGAAAACATTATATTCACAAAGTCCAAATCGTTATTTAGCATGCTCGTTAAGGCTTCCAACTGAAGTGCTACGGTGTTGTTATATTTACGTGCTCAATGTTATTTTAGTAAATGAAGTGTAATTTTTACCCCTTGAATTATTTTTACGTCTTGAATCATAGAATTAACGTTTAAGGCATTAAAATCCTTTGACTGATGCATTCTGGGACCAGAAGGGGAGGAGAACAGTGCCAACAAATTACGTTTTTTCAACAGACTGCACTGTTGTATGTAAACAAATTTTTACATGTTTACGAAATGTATATATTAATAAAATCTAATAAGACACAGGCATATGGTTGCATCTTCCAATAACTGCAAAAAAAGACTTTACTATTACCAGAAGTTATCAAGTCACCTCACAAATTTCCCTCTCAGAGCAGAAAATACCGCCCGAAACCTGAAATATTTACACTTTGAAGGAGGTGCTTATGTAACGATTGTCTAACGGTCGATAAATGACCACAAAATCTTTGTGAATTTTGTACATATTTAACAATTAGGCTTGTAAAAATAAGGGTTGAAACAATAAATAACGCGCTTTGTGATAAAATATCACTTTAGAGAAGAGAGACGTTAATTGGTATATTTTCCAAGCATTAAATCGTTTGTTGAATTGCACAAGCTTAAATATCGTGCAATACCTAATAAATAACGATAGAAATCAGGGAACTGACAGTGAATTGACTATGACTAGTTTTAATGCCTAATACATAGATTTTCATTTGTAATACTATTGTATGTAAAAAAAAAAGCAAAACCCTACCATGTTGTATTAGAGTTTGACAAATGTGCAAAATTAAAAAAAAATTTTTTGAATGAATTTAGTATTATTTTTAATAGTGCAGGTGTATCTGACATTTGAAGTATTCCTTTTGCTGTCAAGGGAGTAAGGCTTACGTCAGACCAGAAACGTTTCCAGCTGGCCAGCAGTCTCAGTAAGCCTTACTTCCTCTGCATTCCCTTCTACAGCAAGCTCATGGTTGCTGCCACAGCCAGTTAATAAATACATTTTTAGAAAACCTTTGATTGTGGCTTTTTGTAAAATGGTGTAAATTGAAGATAAGCAAAACTTTAAGGGCTTATACACACAGACTTGGTGCCATGCACAACCAGCCATACAACCAAATGCTGTGGTTGGGTAAACTGCTCTAATGCTTTTCTGCATTAGAATAAACAGGTGCCTGCGCGTATGATGTATTCTCTAAAGCACTGTGATGCGTTGTAACAATGCACTGCAGAGCAGGGTGTATGCATTATGCACACAATAATGTAAGCTCGCTGATGTGAATGGGCCCTCAGTGCAATAGCACAATTCTCATGGACAGCATCAGCAACACCGTACTCTGGCATCACATATTATGCAATATGTATTATGTTACATCATTGCTTGGCTTAGATACAGCAGCAGCAGACCAAGCTTAGAAAACAATACGTTTTTTAAGCTAGTTTTGGCTGTGCACCTGATTTTTTTATCCTGCAGTAATAGGCCTAAATTGAGTGGTGGAATGAGAAGTAACAACAGATCTAAAAGCTATAGGAAAGTTTATGCATCCAAAATAAATAAGCAAAGCTGAAGCCTTCAACTGCATACCAATTGGCTAGTGGCAAATTGCCAGTTTCATAGTATAGCTTGTGATCTTTTCACATTACTACACTGAATTGTCTTAAAGGAGAACTATGTGATGAGTGATTTCCACTCACCTCATAGTTCTAGCCGACCTGTGACAATGAGACTGTCACAGGTCGGCTCAGTAGATCGGGAGGTGAGCGAACACATACCGAGTTCGCTCGCCTCTCGATCCTGTCACGGCTCTCTGCTGTGACAGGGGGAGGGGCTGGATTCCCCTCTCTGATCTGCCAGCGCTGACTGGCTGAACGGACGGGGGAGGGGGGCGGGTACAGCTATCTCTGCCTCTAGATAGGCAGAGCCAGCTGTCACTCACGCAGCTGGGCAGATCTCGACGTCGATGTCAGGAGGATGCTAGTTTGTGTCCTCCCGTTACCCTAAGGAGAACTATGGGGAAAAACACTGACCCCATAGTTCTCCTTTTAAAGGTTTATTAAAATGTCAAAATAGAGTTCACAAAAGCACTTTTAAACCATATCCCCACATTCCAGAGATGACAACGTTTTTATACTGAAATAAAAAAAAGAGTACCATAATTTGAAAACAATAACCACACATATAGTACAGTGATTGTAGAGTATGCAAGCAGCTTGTTTGGGCTGCAATGTAGGGAGGGAGAGAGAGGAGGCAGCTTTATCATGAAGGATCCCATAGATAAATGTTTGGAGACACTCCAAAATGTAAGTCAAATTAAAAAAATTTATAAAGATATTTTAAAGAAAAGAAGAAAAAAATTGGGAGGAGCTAGCAGTGACAGCTCCACCCAACTGTTTCCTATTGGCCGGCACCTGCTAGAGTCTGCTAGCAGGTGCCGGCCAATGAATAACAACTGGGCAGGGCTGTCCGTGACGTCACGGGCGGCTCCACCCAGTTGTTATTGTTTAATGACAGATCGGGGTCCCCACCTTAACCCAGCAATGGAAAAGACTGCATATCCTTTTTATGTACTTTGACCCAGCAGTGGACAAGACTGCCTATGTAGCATATGCATTACCTATCCATTACATCCAAGATCATACCTACCAGATGTACAGGCAATGGTGCAGGAATAGAGGTAACAAACAATGACTTAATCCTTTTGGACCCCATTTTGATGAGCAGACCCTAATATGGATGCTTACTGGTTTAATGACTTAAGGATTGGGTTCATACTTGTTACACTACGTTATATTATTCTAGTGATGGTGCAATTGGAGGGAATGGAAGAATGCATGATAAAATAAATAGACAAAATAGACAACTGCATTTGTGAGTTCAAGGCACAACATCCCGTGGGTTCCCTTCAAGTGTCTAATGGAGGCTCTAAAGATAGTGTAAGAGCAGGTATTCCTGTTGCTGTGCATCAATAAAGTAATTTTTTCTGCATTCCAGTAGTGTGAAAATTAATTTGTTGTCAATCTGCACCTGAACAAACCTGATCAAGATGTTTAAAGTAGAACTGAAGTCAAAATGTTTTTTAGTACTGGATATAGTATGGGAGTAAGTAAGGCTTATAACACATCAGCTTTTTTGCCAGTTGTGCGCCGTGAAGAAGATTTCCCTTCACTTCCTGTTCAATAGCCACGAAAGAAAGTGAGAGGAAATCCCTCCAAAGAGAAGGAAATCCCTTGTGGTCACCAGAACTAGTGTCCCCATTGGAACATTTACCATCTATTTCTTTTCTGGTGACAAAATTTGGGATTTTCTTTAACTTTCAGTGTTGATGGTCACCATGACAATTAGAGAGGGTGAATCTCTCTAATGGGGACACTGAGAGCAATTAAAACCAGGTGTTAAAAACTAGGGATGCACCGATACTTTCCACATGCCAGTGCCGATACTTGGCATTTTCATGAGAACTATCAGGGTTGCAGCTGGGACCTGACTCTGGTGCTCCACCACTGTCCTGAAATCATTAGTCTGTAGAGTCTTCTAGCAGGTCCCGGCCAATGAATAACAACTGGGCGGGGCTGTCTGTGACGTCCTGGCCGGCTCCGCCCAGTTGTTATTGTTTAATGACAGATCGGCGTCCCCAGGTCATTTGGGGATGCTGATCTGTTATTACAACTGGGCGGAGCCATCCGTGAGATCACGGCTGGTTCCACCCCAGCTGTCATTTGCGGGGCGAACAGCCGGCTTTCGGCAGGACGTTCTCCCCGGTTTGGCTGTCACTTCAGCTCAGTCTGACCGAAGCATATGCCTTCGGCTCAGCTGAGCCGCTTGAAGAGAACCGAAGGATCAGCCAAGGCTACGACTGGATCCTTCGGCTCTTTAGTGAATAACCCCTTAAGAGCTTGCCAGCATTCTCTGTGATGAGCAAATCCTCACACTCAGGTTAGCTTTCAGCTGACTCTCCAGCTGGCAGGACAATGATCTTTCACACAAGGCACAGCATTGGCAGATTACTATTAACTGTAATCAGATCAGTTAAATGGTTTTTGATTGGTTGAGAAGTACCTTTCAAGTCAGCATTGTTCTTTGCCTTGCTATAAACTTGTTTATACACTATACTGTTGATATAGCTCTTTGCGGTTTCATCAGGGGTCAAGTGACCTCTGCTTTTGCAGTTATCAAGGAGGACAAGCTGTTAATGTAGTCTATCATATCAGTGGCGCATAAAGCCAGCAAGCAGTGTTTATATCATTGCTCTCAATTTCTCTCTAGAGAATCAGACATCTGTTCTACTGCTCCACTAAAACCGTTGGGAAGACATAAAGAATATTTAAGGAAACTATTACTGGCTAATTTTGGATTGATTCATAGTGTATCTGGCAAGATTTAATTAGGAAATGTACTACATTAATAATACTACAATAAATTTGTCTTCATTCAGGCACTGAATCAGTTGCTGCGCCATCTGCAAGAGGGAACTGCCCTCCACCTACTCGTAAGCAATCTGAGATGAGAATGGCCCCAAGTGGTGGAGATTATGCTGGAGCTGACCAAGAAGGAAGAGATTATTCTTACAGTACTGCAGACAGCGAAGTGAACAGAAGCCCTGGAGGTTTGCCAATCTCTTTATTTCTACTCAGGGATTGCACATGATTACTTGATGCTTTTAAGAGGGAATTTAATAAGTTTGACTTGGATGTTAAATCATTTATAATAGCATCTAGGTGCTGCATGACTATTTAGGCTATTGGCAGTATAATTTATGGGTAATGCCAAAGAGCTCGGACCTTTATACAGATTCATGCCATATACTGTATGACTATTTTTTAAACTGTTAGAGATTAAACAGATGCCTGTTATCCTACAGTACAAGCACCTACTACTGACAAGTGGTGGTACTATGGAAAAGTTGATGTAGACATCCTTTACCACTGCTTTTGACCACTTGGCCTCATTCCTTGCAGTCCTGGGGATATAGATTAATGTCTGTGTTAATTAATGTGTTTTATGTCTACATTTAGGCCTTCTCATAATTGCTGAAACTTGCTTATCAAGGTTCTTTCATTGTGAAACTATAGCCAAGCTACCAGATAGGTGTGACGGACCCCCGTACTCAGGATGAGTATGTCCGCCGCTGTCTTCTTCCTTGCTGAGGAGATATTGGAACCTGCTGATCTGTAGCTCCCAGTTTCCCCAGTCACTAGCCAAGGCTTGAGTGTAGGGTAAACAAACTCTGGTTTATTGAACAACTGCACAAACTTTTATACAGCAAGTGATGAAATCAGAATATAATCCCATCACATCCACCTCCCCTCCTCCCAGACCATCGGTCTGCTCAACACCACAGGTGTCCACCTGCTAACGAACTCCAGACAGCCATAGCAGAAGCCTGGCCAGAATGTCATTGTTCTGAGCTCCCTCAGAGAACAATAGGAGATAACGAGGGATGGTGCTGATACTCTTTCCATAACCAGGTCACACAGCATAACGCACTCAAACATAACCCAACACCAATACACATTTAACTTATAAACTCATCACCGTGTCGTCACATAGCTCCCCCAAGTTAAAAGATGGCAGACCCGGTGAGACCCTCTACTGTACTTTGACCCAGTAGTGGACAAGACTGCCTATGTAGCATATCCATTACCTATCCATTACATCCAAGATCATACCTACCAGATGTACAGGCAGTGGTGCAGGAATAGAGGTTACAAACAATGACTTGATCCTTTTGGACCCCATTTTGATGAGCTTACTGGTTTAAAGACTTAAAGATTGGGTTCGTACTGGTTACACCATGTTTTATTATTCTAGTGATGGTGCAATTGGAGGGAATGGAAGAATGCATGATAAAATAAATAGACAAAATAGACAACTGCATTTGTGAGTTCAAGGCACAACATCCCGTGGGTTCCCTTCAAGTGTCTAATGGAGGCTCTAAAGATAGTGTAAGAGCAGGTATTCCTGTTGCTGTGCATCAATAAAGTAATTTTTTCTGCATTCCAGTAGTGTGAAAATTAATTTGTTGTCAATCTGCACCTGAACAAACCTGATCAAGATGTTTAAAGTAGAACTGAAGTCAAAACTTTTTTTTGGTATTGGATAGAGTAAGTGAGGCTTATAACACATCAGCTTTTATGCCAGTTGTGCGCCGTGAAGATTTCCCTTCACTTCCTGTTCAATAGCCACAAAAGAAAGTGAGAGGAAATCCCTCCAAAGAGAAGGAAATCCTTTGTGGTCACCAGAACTAGTGTCCCCTTTGGAACATTTCCCATCTATTCCTGTTCTGGTAACAACCCAAAATTTGGGATTTTCTTTAACTTTCAGTGTTGATGGTCACCAGGACAATTAGAGAGGGTAAATCTCCCTAACGGGGACACTAAGAGCAATAAAAACCAGGTGTTCTAACCCCACTCTACTCTATCCAAAACAAACAAAAAATATTTTGTCTTCAGTTGCACTTTTAGAAAATGATGGGCCATGTGCTGAAAATTATTTTACTTATCAAAGACGCCTGAGTGAGCAGTTGGTGCGCTAATTAGAATCCATTTACATGACGTGTTTTGTCCCCGGATAGTTGGGTACATCATAACCTTGTCTGCTGCTTGTTTATGTCACTTATCTCTGATGTAGTACTAGCCAAACTGCAAAGTCATCCCTCCTAAATTACACTTTCTGTTAAATTTAATGTTGAGAGCTATATGGTATGCTCTTGCTCCAAATTCATAATAATTGTTCCATGCTGTGTTTACCCTAATCCATTTTCTGTAGAAAGAATAATACAGATAGTTCAGCATATTAAAATGAACATAGTGAATAATCTAGACGCATCTCTGGAGCAAAGAATAATTTAATTGCATTGAAATGTATCTCTCTAGAGCTCAAATGTGATTTAGATTTATGATAGTGAATAATTTTTGCATACATTCTCTCTTATCAATCGTAACACTTGGACTTTGCTTAGTATGCTGCTGCCCATTTCAAGAGGTGGTCTCTGGTGTTACAGCATATGAGTGATGTGTACAGGTGCTGAGGAAATATTATTTTTTATGTAGCAATGTGAACAACTTACTGTATATATTGTGTAACTTACTAAACCCAAAGTAGTCTGTACTTTTTTTTTTTTTTTTACTAAATACGCTTGGATATTTAGGGAATTCATACAATGGGCCAGTTAATACACTGGAAAATGTCCCTGGAAAAAATAAAGCTGCAATGTTGTTGGAATGGTTCACACATGCACATATATTTTCTCCATTTTGTATAAATCAATTTTCATAGCTTTAAAGAAGAACTGAGTTCTGGAAGTCAGAAGTCAGAGTGCAAAATGACAAGTTACTACATGTGGTCTCCCTGTAGCTGATCTTTCCTTACTGCTGACTTACCATGCCTTGCTCTGCACTGTGTTTCTGTGTAGAATCTGCCATCCTGGTAGAGAATGGACTTTTTTCTTCCTCATATCAGAGCCTCCAACATTAACCAGTTGACATCCGCGGTGTTAAACCCCCTTCCCATCCAGGCCATTTTTCAGTATTCAGCGCTGCAGTACTTTGACTGACATTTATTCCGTCATGCAACGCTGTACTGAAATGAATTTTATCGGTAATGCAGCAGTGCCGTCTGTCCGTTTTTTTACAACGGGCGGACGGCAAGTGGTTAACAGTAAACACCACAGTAGTGACATCCCCTAAATTATAAATATCATAAGGCTAGCAGTCAGAGGCAACAGAGCCTTAAAGTGTAACTATGGCCTTCTATTACAAAAATATGTTGAAACACTTAATTATCATTGCATCTGCACTTACAGTTTTCTCTTAGTCTCCCTGCAAAGTCCCACAAATACCTATTGATTCTGAAAGTGAAGTCTATCTAGTGCAGCCTCCTGTGAGTCTCCACTCTCATGTTGGCTGTACTCAACAGTGGGATGAAAAAAATGTTGCAGGGGACGTGACTATTAGCATTGTCACTACCGATTCACAAGCCTGTAGCTTGTCAATCAGCACCTGGCCACGCGTAGTCCTGCTTTCTGAATTGACAGTACTGCCTCTAGTGCTGAAACCCTCATACCACGAGCTGCAGTGCCTGAGAGCGAGAGTGTGTGAGATACACAAATGATGGAGGGTTTTACTCAATCAGGGAAGGGACATAACATTTTTTGTTTACTTATTGAGGTTTGTGCATCACACAGTAACTGAATTTCATACTTATTTAGAATGTAATGCAGGAGCCTTTAGTTGTATTTTAATCTCACACTACAGGTGCTCAGGTATGAGGCTGTGGGCCCAGGAGTGCTTAGGCACCCTCACATGCCAGTAAGTGCTCTTTGATTTTTCAGGAGGGTTTTGAGACAAAAGGTTATAGGGTACTGCTTAGGCACAATTAACATTTCAAAAATGTCCCTATAACATAGTACATCTTCCCTTCCGAGTTTGTTTCCAATTTAGCTTCCTGTTCAATCTCTATACGGACACATTTACAAAGTTTCATTTTGATAGATACATTCATAATTAGAAGAAAGGGAAATCTATAACTGCAGCACAGCTAGTCTGTAATAATTAATACACAGTTCTTCATACATATATTAATTTATGTGTTAAAGGGTCAGTCTACCCAAAGCTAATATTTCAGTTTTGGTAGATGTTAGAGTGTTAGACTGCTAAAAACATAAAACATATCAGTGCTAATACTATGTGATCAGTGAATATTCAAATATGACAATGTGTCGACTTTAAAATTAAACACAGCATGTATAAGGTGTCAATAAACACCAAAGGATATGTTCAGCAAACTATGTACTAAGTTACAATGAATTGCACTGAAACAATTGACTCCAAATAAACAGTGAGAAATCAATCAGCAATCAACAATAAGATTCCCAATTACAATGTGAAATCAAAAACAAAGTGCATAAAAGTTCATGTGAGTGAAACCATCCAAATGATCATTTGAAAATTCATACACATATAATTCAGTCTTTGTTCCTCCACAGTCCTATTACCACCATGTGGACACTCTAATCTCGCTGTTCCCCCTTATGCTATATTAGCCATGTGGGGATCTACCCTCATAATAATCCACTTATGCAAGTTCTCATATACCTCTTTGTACAAACTTCAAGGATCCCAATGGTATGTTAGATCAACCCAAAATAATAAAGCTTCTATTGAAAATTACTCAGATAAAAACGAAGGATATCCAACTTATTCACAAAGTAATATGGTAATGCAGGCAGGAACACTACCGGATGAGCCACAACAAATACGTCGAGCTCCAGTCTTTCCTCTCCCACACTACGTCACAAGCTCCACCCTTTAGGCATTACGTCTGAAATGACTTCATCAGGGTGAATCCAGTAGGCTTTTTCCTTTACAATAAATCGCTGGAGAAATGCCCAGATTACATTTACAGCTATGTTTTTTTATCCTTAAAAGCACATCATTGACATAATATTTATAACCCAGATTATGTAAAATAGGTTTTAATAAAGTTTGTTGTTAAGGACCTTGTAACCAAAGCGAAATTTGATGTGTATTCCAAACTATTTTTTGTCACATGCTTGATTACCTATCCAATGTTTCTTAATTGCTGTCACTGATGTCAGCCTGAAGA